GACACGGGCACTGTCCCCACTGTCCCTGCCTGTCCTGTGGCCCCTGTGACCTCACAAGAGCCGGCGGCAGCAGCAGCGGGGGGCGGCAGGGGCCCGGGGCGGGGGGGGCGGGGGGGGCGGCGGGGGGGGGGGGGGGGGGGGGGGGGGGGGGTGTGTGCGCGTGTTGAGGCGCGCGCGGGGCACTGTGGGATTTGTAGTGTGGGTGGGAGGGAGGCGTCGTGGTGTGACCCCAGCCGGCAACCGAGCCCCACCGCTCACTGCCCCCCGGTGGGATGGGGGGAGAATCGGAAGGGTAGAAGTGAGAAAACTCGTGGGGTGAGATAAAGACAGTTTAACAGCGAAAAGAAAAGCTGCACATGCCAAAGCAAGACAAGGAATCCGTTCCCTCCTTCCCATGGGCAGGCAGGTGTTCAGCCATCCCCAGGAAAGCAGGGCTCCATCAAGCATAACGGTGAGTTGGGAAGACAAATGCTGTCACTCTGAACGTCCCCCCCCTTCCTCCTTCTTCCCCAGCTCTATTTGCTGAGCATGACGTCATATGGTGTGGGATATCCCTTGGGTCAGTTGGGGTCAGCTGTCCCGGCCGTGTCCCCTCCCAACTCCTTGTGCCCCCCCCAGCCTGCTCGCTGGTGGGGTGGGGTGAGGAGCAGAAAAGGCCTTGACTCTGTGTCAGCACTGCTCAGCAGTAACGAAAACATCCCTGTGTTACAAAACACAGCCCCATACCAGCTACTATGAAGAAAATTAACTCTACCCCAGCCAAAACCAGCACAGGAGGGCATGGGCAGGCGGGCGTGGAGCCTGCACCACTGCCTGCGCTGCCCAGCCCCAGTGCTCGCTGGCCCTCCCCCTCAGCAGTGTGCCCATGGCAGGGTGGGGGTCCCCTGGGTGCTCCCCTGTGCACCTGTGTGCCTGCTGCCACGTGGGCCCGCAGGAGGCGGGTGCTGGTGTCGTATGTGGGCTCCAAGCGCCGGCTGCAGCCCGTGGCCCCGCAAGGTGCCATGAGCCAGTGGGGCAAAGGTCTAAAGTTCAGCCCACCTTGTTCTGAGGTTCAGAAGAGTGCCTCTTTCATTTCCTGAGATGTATTGAAGCTTGTGGTTTTCCACTTCTTGTCTGGGCACCTTGGGGGGGAAAGCCCTCACCCTGCCTCTACAGGCTAACCAGGAGAGCGAAACCTGTGTAATGGCATTGCACTTACCTTAGAATAGCCCGCGTTCCCATTAGGAAACTATTTACTAAAAAAGCTTGAAAAGTACCAGCGGTGTGCCGGGAACCCTGTAACCACGGGAGCACTTAGGGTTTTCCTGTTGTAAGCAATATGTACTCTTAGCTGAACCTCAGTGTACCAGCCTGTGTGCTTAGATCTTTTGATCAAAGCTTTGGTGTCAGTTAAGTGTTTCAGAAAGGCAGAACAGGAAACCCCCACGCTACAACTCCCACCCCTTGCTTCCTGTTTAAGTACATGTGTGGGAGAGCAAGAACATTGTAAGAACCAATTACTGCATGTGAGAGGGGAAAAAAAAGTGATGTAAACAACAGCTGCCACGCTGGAAATTAAAGGTCCTGATTGTATTTGGTTTGGATGGCAACACAGCTTCTACACACTGCTGGCTTTTCAACAACAATAGCAAAATCCATTAACAGACAGGGAAAGCGAGGAGGCAGAGGAAGGTGGAGGCTGGATTGTTCAAAGCAAACACGCCTGCAGAAGCAAACTTCTTGATCATCAAAGGTAAGCGGCAACATCAGAGACTGAAAATGTGATATAGAGGGCAATCTTATGCCTTATGTGCTCAGGGACAAGCAAAACTGTTGGCAGAGGGCTGGTGGAGTGTAATTGTGCCGAAGATATTAAAAGTACCGTGAAATGGCTGTGTGTGAGGGGGTTGGTGCTGACTGGGGATCTTGCTGCAGTTTGTCTATGTGAATTCCCACGGTGTCAGCGTTCTGCCAAACCGTGAGGCAGCCACTTTGCCATCCCTCAGCAGGGATATCGGTCTCTGCCATGGCTTTGTAGTGGAGGTGGGGCAGGCTCTCAGCCCCCTAGCATGTTAAGAAAGAGAGAGATGCTGAAGCCTTGTAGATTCCAGCTGAGGAACTTCTGGAGGTCTGCACGCTAGTGAGTAAGCTGACATTGCGGATGAAGCTAAAAGAGGGGAAATGTGAGTGCTTAATGTTGGTAGGTTGCAATTTTCTGGGTAACTCCTGAGACGTGTCAGACCCCAATTGTTTGGATGGGAAGGGGAGTGAATGCTGGCAGGGCTGGACTGAAAGCATCGGTGTAGTGCTGGTGCTGCAAAGACAGGCTTGAGTAGAGCCAGAAATGTCTGCAGGAGCGCTGGGGGAGTTTCAGACTGGTTGGTACTATGCATGGTACCATGGGAAGTGTTGTGCCCCTCGGTGTCAGCTTGCCATCAAGTTAATTCAACCAATTTACAGCTTGCTCTCGTAGCAAATCTAGGGGATGAGTAAATGGGGAAGCAAGTGTGAACAGGTGCTTTTGCTGATGAATGTTGTGTGCATCAGAGTACTAAGTAAGGCAGCATTTCCTCCTCATAATATAATATGCCAGCCATCACACTGAGCAGGGGAAAAAAAGAGAAATAAATGGTGATTAGTGGTGTGGTGCTAGACCCTGAAATGTTTCAGGCAGAAGAGAGATCGGGTAGGGGCCCAGTGCAGAGTGAGGGAGTAGCATGCACATGTTTGAGATGCGTGTGGGTCAGGACCTCAGTCTGCTCTTATCTCTGCTGCTAAGTCTCTCCTTCACTCCCTCATCTGTGCAGTGAGGAGGATGAGGGTATTAGCAGCTGAGTTATTTTACTGAGATTGTGAGGGGTGAAATATAAATACAGCACATGATAGTTGATTCGTAACTCCTGGTTGTTTTATTGCATGAGGACAGTCTCTTCTTGGTCTCTTGTCTCCAGTACTTTGTAATGTCACTTTTCAGCCTGTTATTTACAGCACTTGCCTAGAATGAAACAAACCTGGCTTTCAGTCCCTGCCTTCAGGAGTGTTTATGCATGTAACTGCTTCACATAAAACACAGACACAATCCTGAAGAATACAGACTGAGACCCAGCATCCTTCTCCTGCTCTGGAGAATTAACTGCAGATCTGTACAGCCACACAGCTTCTCTCTGCCCCAGCTGACTCAAATTTTTTTCTGTGCAATGCTTGTTTCTGTCCATATGGATGGAGGGCATCCAGTGTCTTCCTGAGCAGACCTGGAGCATCTTTCTGGGAGTTGGAAAGTGGAGAGGCTGAGCAGTTAATGAGAACATGAGCACAGTCTGTCTTCCTTCAGTTTTTGTAGGAAAGAAGGAGCCCTGCAGAGGCAAGGTTTCAGACCCCCCCACATCTGTCAGCAATTCCTAGCTAGTTATTTCAAGTCTTTTTGAAATGCCCAGCTCCCACCTGAGCATTGCTGAGGGAGCCTTGCCTAGCCTAGCCTGTATTCCCACCAGGGATCCGATGCCCCGCAGTACAATTCAGGCTGGAAGGGACCTCAGGAGGTCTCTAGTCCAGTCTCCTGCTAGAAGCAGGCTCAGCCATGAGGTCAGACGAGGCTACCGAATGTAAACTTTCCTTGTGCCCGCTTGCATCGTGTGTCCCCACAGCAGTCAAGAGCAAAGGGACGCTGGTAGCCGGGCTGTGCACCAGCTCTCCCAGCTCAGGCAGGCCTCAGGGAGTTCCCCCCAGGCACAAGCTCCTTCTGCAGCTGAAGAATCTGCCTGCCAGGACAGAGGCCAGGCCAGTGCAGTGCCTTCCATCAGTGTTGCGCAAGCATCTGCATCCAGGCAGGGTCCACTGCTCTTGTGTGTGTGCTGCCTCCTTCCTTGGGGTGTATGC